CATGTAATAGGTTCTCAATCAATAATGAATGAATGAATGAATGAATGAAATAAAGACGTTGAAGGGAAGGGCCTCAACCATCTGATTATTTGGCATTTATTGCTCTAAGCATATATAGTAAATCCTGGAGCTGCTTCCTCCCCCTGCTCTGCCAGTAGCAAAATTCTTACAGCCCAGACCAGAAGCCAGAGCTTGGAGCTTCTGTATGCCTGCCCATCAGGGTGAGAGGCATCATCACTGCCTCCCCATGCTCTGCCTTCCCAGGGAGAGTTAGTTAAACCACTTCCAGGCTGATGTTGAACCCGGCATCCAGTCCACAGACCCACCACCAACTTCTCTGGCAGAGCAGCTTCTGCTGCTCCAGTGGGGAGGGGTCTCCAAGGGACGGCTAGGAGTGGTAAGTGGCTATGTCACCCATGAAGATGAAAGGTAAGAGAAAGGTGTGTGAAGCCACAGACCTGGGCTGGGGTCTCTGCTCTAGGACTGCCCTACAATCCCTTACCATCTCTGCAGTTCTCCAGGGGCACTGTGGGTTCCTGGCAGCGGGTGCTTTTCTCCACCCTGCCCTCGTCGATGGCATCTCCCCAGGGCTCCTGCAGCCCCCCAGGTCTGCTGTTGTTGTAGTCGTTGGTGGGCGGGGCCAGCAGTGGGTCCCTGGCTTGAGGGCTGCAGGGCTGGTTTTGTAATGGGGTGAGCTCACAGGTCCTGGGATCTGCACTTCTTGAATGAGGCAGGGGGGTGTCTCCAGGCTCACCCTGGTCACCCAGCCTGTGCGGCCCAGCCAGGACTGCCTTCCTGTGAGACCCAGGTGAGGTAGTTTTCCTGGAAGAGGGAGGAGCTGGCACCCAGCCTTCGGGGGAGAGGGAAGTGGTTGGCTGCTGGGCCTGGTGGGGGGCAGAGGGCTCAGCCTGGCTGTGATGCAGAGAGACAGTTTCCAGAGGCTCATGGCTCTCTCTAACCTGGGCTCGTCTGCTTGGCCCAGAGGACGCCAGCTTCATGAACGAAGCCGTGGCACAGGCTGTCCTGCACATAGCCCAGGAATCCGCTGGGTGAGACCAGTGATTTCCCAGTCCTGGTCTTGGCTGCCCCTGGGTCCCCAGGGAGACCCTCTTAGAGTCTTGCACAGGAGGCTTAGAGAAAGCATCTGTGGAGAACGGAGTCCCCTCAGGCATGCATCCTCTGCCTCTTTTTGCCTCATCTGAAACTTCTGCAAGATCATCTCCAGGCAGGTAGTGCAGGGCCTGAGGGCTCCTGGGCAGCTCCATGTCAGCCTTCCGGAACCCTCTGTGGCCTCCTCGAGGCCTGCAGCCTCGCAGACGGGGGCTGCTTCCTCGGGCCAGGCTGCGGGCCTTGTTGTGCTGAGAGGTCCCAGCCTCCTCGCTGTCAGTCCTGCAGCTGTCCGAGGTGTCTGTGCTGTCCAGGGCGGAGTCCACCTCCTCTGGGTGCACAGAGTCTCCAATGTGTGTCTCCCGGATCCATTCGGAGTGGAGCCCCTGTTCAGCGGGGAAGAGCCTGAGGGGGGCACTCAGGGCCCGAGAGCTAAAGGGCTCAGCCAATACCCGCTCCAGCCCAGAGGCAGACTTGTGCTCCTGGAGGACTCTGGGGTCAGGGGTTGCTGTCCCCCGGACAAGGTGTTGGTCCTCAATGCGGCTGCCACAGGCTCTGCACGTCCTCTCACCGCCTACTGTGGGCGGCAGTGCCAGGAGGGTCCACTGGTCCAGGTGGCCCCCTAGCCTGTGCAGAGCCCCTTCATCGCCATCCTTGGGCCGGAGAGCCCCGGCGATGTAGTCGGCAATCTCAGGCTTGGAGCGCAGGGCGCCTTGGTCCGCCGTCTGCAATGCAGAGCTCAGCACCTGGCGCTGGCGCTGCTGCAGCCGCTGCAGGTAGCGGGTCTCAGCCTCTCGGGCAGACTCATCCTCAAAGCGGACGTGAGACGGGGAGGGGCCCTGCTTTGGCCACTGCCCACTGCTGGACTCCCCACTGGAGGAGTCACTCGTGCTCCCGTTCCGGAGGTTGTCTCTGTAGGCCATGGGCATCCTCCGGTCTTGGGCTGGGCTTCTCCTGCCATCTCTGATGGGAGACAGGAGAGAGGTCACAGGCAGGAAGTGGGGAGAAGGGAACCCTGGGGTACTCTGTGGAAACTACAACCCCGAAGTTACCCCAGATCAGATTCCTGGGGAGTCAAGCAGCAAACCAGAGTAGCTTACGAGCTCATCCTGTCCTGAGACAAAGGGCTAAACAAAATCAACAGACCTTCTTTACTGTATCTTTCCCTTTGTTGCTGGCTCAGCCTGAGTTAAGATGAAGCATTATTAAACTCAGGATTATACAGAGGGATGATAGCCAAGTCCTTGTGTGAGGGGTGTGTGTAGGAGAGGAAGTGAACCGGCCATCATGGCATCTGGGAATGATGAAGAGTGTGTTTTAAGTCTGTACAGAGACTGTGTGGGACCTGAAGTCGGGGTTTCTTGCTCTCACTCAGGGTTGCTATCATTTCGCTTAGACAAAATTTAGACAGAGTGACACCAATGGTCTGGACACTCGGTCTTGTCTGCTCCCAAACCCCTTCCTTGCACCTGCCCCTCCCCGGCCCCTTGCACACACTCTCCTCTTGAAAAGCTGTGAGGAGAATGACTGTGTTAGGAAGTCTCCACACTCTGTCACCATCCTTTGCTCTGGGAGACACTGAGGGTCAAGTTCTGCTCAGCTCAAGGAAATACCCACACAAATCTTCGCGCCAGGGCCCCCTGAAGCCAGGTTATTTCAGTTTTAGGCAGCTATGCAAATGGACCCAGGCCCATAGACCATTTTCTGTCATAGGCAACCTAAGTAAGAACCATGCTTTTTCCTCCCTGAGGACTCCACCCATACCTGGATCACTTTAGCCTGACAGGATCTGAGAAAGGGACTGTGAAACAATTATTCTGGTGGGGTCACTGTCCAATATGAGGTTCCTGTGACAGCAATCTACACATTCTTGCCCAGGAAAGGAAGGCTTTAAACAGAGATATAGCATCACCTCACTCCAAAAAACAAGAGGGGCCCTACCAAGCAGCAGCTCTGTCCCTCACTGCACAGGTAGGATGCCGTTGCTGCCAGGCCTACCCAGTGCAGGACACTTGGCACACCGGCTCAGACACAGCAACACGTATGCAGGCCCCCTAGGGCAATGCCCTGCTCTGCTGACAGGATGTGGGGCGTACTTTCTGGGAAGGAAAGAATAAGCCCAGATTTAAAGGCAGTACATTCTTAATCTAAGAAGGGAGTCCAGGTCCCATCAGCCACATCAGTGACCTTAATTTTTACATACAAGATGGTGAATTGAGCCATCCCGAAATTCATGCTGAATGGAGAGATAACATTTTTGTTCGAAAAGAAGAAATGAAGAAGAGCTTAATCATATAAAGTACCTTCACTCAAGTATTAAAACCCAGAGGCCTCCGCCAGCAGTGCTGGGGACAGTGCATACAGGTGTGGTAGGGATTCAGAGAACAAGAGCAGAGCCAGGAGGCACTTCGGCAGCGAGCAGATGCCGTCCTGCCGAGCTTCTCAAGATGAGGCACGGCAGATGCCTCCGTGTTCATGCCTCCCAGAGAGGGCCTGTCTGGCGCAGAACCTGGAGTCGAATGGCCCCATGGGAAGGATGGGAAGGCCCACTTCCTACAACAGTGTTATCCTAACCATACATCAATGTGACCCACACAGGCTGTATAGTCTCAACACAGCCACTCTCTGACATAGGACAATAGCACTTACAGTGTCACCTCCCAGGCCCTGGATCTTGCTGATGTGTTCCTGCTTCCCTGGATTAGGAACAACAACCTAGGTGTGCCTGTCCCCAAAATGGCAAGAGCATGTGCTTCCAGGAGCTGCTCAATATCTACAATGCTTTATTTCCAGAAAACGCAGCTACTGCTACCTCTTCGCCTCCTGGAAAAGCCTGTCTGTCTGTTCAGCTTGTCCCAGGTGCCTCCGCCAGACCTAGGATTAAGAAGGCCTTCTGGGGACAGCTCTGCCTGCCCCCACTCTTCTATTGTCTTTTACCAAACTGTCCTTTGGAAGCAGTGATGCCTCTGGGCTGGGGAGGATGGGGGCGCTCCTGCATCTATCTGAGGCCCAGGGCCTGTGTGGCATCTCCATGTTAACTCAGCGTGGTTCTCCAGGGTGATTTGACAAGCGTAACCTTTAGAAGCATCTGCAGCAAGCCATCTGGCGTTGATTTTCAGCTATACCCTCTGAGGATTCACCAGCACTGCCAAGTCAAAGCAATTCTTTTCTGGACACAGCAGCTGCTAAAGTGGGTCACCTTGCATTTCTACAGCATTTCTATGGCCAGGGGACAGCCTGGCAAAGGGGAACTCACTTTAAGGTTAATGACTAGGGTTGTTGTGAGCTGCTGACATGGTATGGGGAAAAGGAAGCATCCAAGAGTAGTACATTTACACAATCAAGTCTGTTTTGCAGGTCCACTTGCTGATTTCGAGGCTACCCAACCCAACCCATGTACTATAGACAGTGGACCAGGCGGGTTCCATGAAAGTCTAAGGTTCTGGGCCCCCTATACACTCAGAGAAGAATAGTTAGGATGCTTCAGAGAAGCCATGTCATTCCTTACTAGTACCCTCCAGACGGAGGGAGACAAGGCACAAAATGTAGAAATTAAAGAGCAGCCTGTTTGGCACCTCTTGCCAGAGTACAGGGTCATCTGAGCCCTTCTCCTAGGGATCACCCTGACACTGAACATGGAGGCAGGCTGCAGCCCTCTGCTCATGCTGGAGTCATTTCAGTGGTGCTTTGAAGGTCCTCAGCCTTTTCATGAGTGGGCTCGGCATTTCCCGTCAAAGAACATGTGGTCCAGTTCCACTGACAATCCTCGTTCCCTCTAGCACCACATGGAGATGGAAACCGGCAGGCCCAGCACACCCATCATTCCAAGGAAGCCACGGGACTTGCCACCCTCACAGAAGGTGCTGCTCAAGCCTGGCATAACTCTGTGTGGGCTGGCAGTCTCACCTCAGGCCCAGGTGTGCCAGCTGTAGTGTGGTGAACTCTACGTGTAAGTGGTTCCTTGCGGTGCACCGTACAAGAGCAGGCACAATGATGGGGATGGGATGTCACTCAGGGAACAACCAGACATGTGAAGTACTGGTCTGAATGTCCTTGAACTTGTTCTTTTCCTGCTTCTTCATCCTTGATGCACCCTCACCCATGGCTCCAGCATCATGAAATCAGGGTAATGCCCAAATCTGCAGTTCTGACCTCTCTCCCCCTCTACAGATCCCATATCCAGCTGCCTGACAAACATCTCCAGTAGATGTTCTGTGAGCAACCCCTTCTGAAGCCTGCTTCTGTACCCAGGCTTCTCCCCTTGGCTGAGGCTCCACCACACCTTCAGACACCAAGTCAGAGCCTTCGGCTACATCTTGGATGTCTCCCCTCTCATACTTCCCATATCCAGTTAATTACAGGAGTCCCACCTTACCTATGGATTCGCTTTTTGTGGTTTCAGTTACCAGCTGTCAACCACTACTGGAAAATATTAAATGGCAAAGCCCGTAAATAAACAATTCACAAGTTTTAAATTGCGCACTTTTCTGAGTAGTGTGACGAAATCTCACACTTTCCCACTCCATCCAGCTGGGGATGTGAACCATCCCTTTGTCCAGCATCTCCATGCTACATATACAACCTGCCCATCAATCACTTAGTAGTTGTCTCAGTTATCAGATAAACTGTCACAGTATCACAGTGCTTGTGTTTAAGTCACCCTTATTTTACTTAATAATGGTCCCAAAGTGCAAGAGTAGTGATGTCAACAATTTGGATATGCCAAAGAGAAGCCATCAAGTGCTTCCTTAAGTGAAATGCTATGTTATGTACATATAGGAAAAAACATAATATATGTAGGGTTTGGTACTATCCACGGTTTCAGGCATCCACTGGAGGTCTTGGGAAATATCTTCTGTGCTACTGTGAACAATTAATATTAAGAAGTAACACTCATGGAGTATTCACTACATGCCAGGTGCTGCTCTAAACGTTTTACATGCATTAACTCATATAACCCTCACAACACTGTAAGTCAGACACAATCATAATTCCTATTTTGCAGATGAGGAAACTGAGGCACTGAGACTTCCCCAAAGACACACAGAGCCAGAATTCAAACCCAGTTCTGGTTTCAGAGTCTCTTAATCACTTCTCTGCTGCCTCATTTAAACTGCTTGTGTCTGGCTCTTGGTAATCTCTTGTCTCCAAACCCTCCTCCCTATCACATCTCACCAGAACCATGGATACAACACATCCTGGCGGCCAGAACAGCTTCACCAGAACACAATTGTGATCATGCTACCCACCTAGTTAAACCCTAGAGTGGTGTCTAGCTACTACAGGAGACATGCAAAT